ATAGCCTGGCTGAAAAAAGACAAAAATCCATCCAGTTCAACCATAAAAAAAAAAAAGTTATAATCCTATACCCACAGTTGACAGTTGGATTAACTTTACCTATAAATGTTATATCCAGTTATATTCTGTGTATCTAAGAAAGAATCCAGCACTTTCCAACAGCAATCCACTGAGCTGGCCACAACCAACTCTTGAGGGAGTCTATTCCACATTCTCACAGCTCTTACTGTGAAGAAACCTTTCCGTGTTTGGAGATTACATTTCTTTTCCTCCAGATGTAAAGAGCGCCCCCTTGTCCTCTGTGATGACCTCAGGGTGAATAACTCTACACAGAGTTCACTATATGAACCACTGATGTATTTATACATGGAGATCATATCCCCCCTTATGTATTATACATGGAGATCATATCCCCCCTTATGTATTATACATGGAGATCATATCCCCCCTTATGTGTTATACATGGAGATCATATCCCCCTTATGTATTATACACGGAGATCATACCCCCCTTATGTATTATACATGGTGATCATATCCCCCCTTATGTATTATACATGGAGATCATATCCCCCCTTATGTATTATACATGGAGATCATATCCCCCCTTATGTGTTATACATGGAGATCATACCCCCCCTTATGTATTATACATGGAGATCATATCCCCCCTTATGCATTATACATGGAGATCATATCCCCCTTATGTATTATACATGGAGATCATACCCCCCTTATGTATTATACATGGAGATCATATCCCCCCTTATGTATTATACATGGAGATCATATCCCCCCCTTATGTATTATACATGGAGATCATATCCCCCCTTAATCTCCTTTTCTCAAGAGAGAATACATTCAGTTCCTCTAATCTTTCCTCATAGCTGATCTCCTCCATGCCTCTTATCAGTTTGGTTGCCCTTCTCTGTACTTTCTCCAGTTCCCCAATGTTCTTTTTGTGAATTGGTGCCCAAAACTGAACTGCAGTTTCCAGATGAGGTATTACTAAGGATTTGTACCGGGGGGGGGGGGGGGATGATATCTCTCTCTCTGGAGTCTATACCTCTTCTAATACAAGAGAGGATTTTGCTCGCTTTAGAACCCGCAACTTGGCATTGCTGCCATTATTAAGCTTGTGATCTACCAGAACCCCCAGATCCTTCTCCACCAATGACCCCCCCCAAATCCTTCTCCATCATTGACCCCCCCCAGTTGTACCCCCCTAGTATGTATGATGCATGCATATACTTAGCCTCCAAGTGCAGAACCTTACATTTATCAACATTAATCCTCATTGGCCACTTAGTACATATAACAAGCATGCTTTACTGTATATACAGACTGATTTTGCTGTTATGGGTTTAGTAACACTTTAAGGGCTAATGTACATATGCATTTGGGACGGGTTCACCATGTACAGTTGTGCTCAAAAGTTTACACTCCCTGGCAGAAATGGTGGAATTTTGACATTAATATTGAAAATATGACAGATCATGCCAAAAAACTGTCTTTTATTTAAGGATAGTGATCATATGAAGCCATTTATTGTCATATAGTTGTTTGGCTTCTTCATTAAACCATAATAACAGAAATCACCCAAATGGCCCCGATCAGAAGTCTCCGCCCCCTGGATCAGAAGTCTCCACCCCCTGGATCAGAAGTCCCCGCCCCCTGAAATGTTTGACCTTGGTACAGACACACAAGGTGACACAAAGGGGTTAAAATGGCAATTAAAGGTTAATTTCCCACATCTGCGGCTTTTTAAATTGCAATTAGTATCTGTGTATAAATAGTCAATGAGTTTGTTAGCTCTCACATGGAAGCACTGAGCAGGCTAGATACTGAGCCATAGGGAGCTAAAAATAACTGTCAAATGACCTGCGTAACAAGGTAATGGCACTTTATAAAGATGGAAAAGGGTTTTAAAAGCTGTCCAAAGCCTCAAATATACCTTTTCAGTACTGTTCAATCACTTATTAAGAAGTGGAAAGTTCATGTATCTCTTGATTCCAAGCCAGGGTCATGTAGACAAAGAAAGTTTGCAGCCACAACTGCCAGAAGAATTGTTTGGGATGCAAATAAAAACCCACAGGTAACCTCAGGAGAAATACAGGCTGCTCCGGAAAAAGATGGTGTGGTTGTTTCAAGGAACATGATATGATGGTACCTGAACAAAAATGAGCTGCATGGTTGAGTTGCCAGAAAAATAGCCTTTACTGAACCAATGCCACAAAAAAGCTCAGTTACAATATGCCTAACAGCACATTGACATGCCTCTTCTGGCTTTTTGTGGCATTGGTGTCTCCTGTCTAAGGAATAAGTGTCAGATCAAAGAGTAGCGACTTTAAGAAGTTAGTCCAACCAGGAGCGGACTGACCATTTGGAAACTCGGGCACTGCCCGAGGGCCCGGGGTCAGTAGGGGGCCCCATGAGATGCCCCTGGTATCTTTTTCATAGGCTTTTTTGAGTTTTGGCAAGGACACAGGGGTCCCATGATCCCCTCTTGCCCAGTGGCCCCATGAGTTGTCAGTCCACCCCTGAGTCCAACCAACATCAGTACTGCAGTTATAGGTGAAGCCTCCTGGGCTGAGTAACCCACTGGCTTCTTATACTGTCTTGCAAAACTTTCATCCTGTTTCTCACCTGGAGTTTTGGGTTTTCCAATCTTTCTGTTACACTGTCCTTAACGTAAAAGTGAAAATAAAAATCTGCCAGGAAGATTGTAATGGGCGCACTTGGTGGAAGGTCAATCACACAGATCTCATCACTAAAAACCATGAGAGATAACTGTCTGGTGGTTGACCTTCTAGGAATGTATGATCATCCAACAAACACGAAAGAGTTTTTAGGGAGTTGACCCTTAAATATTATATGGTAGAAATATCCATAAGTAAAAAAAACTAGTTGGGCAGGTTCGAGAACGCCATCCAATTTCTATTGGTAATCATTGCATCCTAGCCCGACTATCCTCTTCCAGCCTTGTCTTTGTAGAGCCAAACTGGCAAGTTGATGGCACTTGGAAAATGGGATCTCCCAAGGGTGGTCAGATGGTACCTTTAGTCCATCATGGACTCAATGCTGGAGTCAGAACTCCTTTCTCCCAGTACAGGTCTATGCCAATCCAAAAGCAGCTTGAAACAGAACAGATGAAGCTGTCAATTCTGATTGACCTCAGAAGTATTTCAAACTAATGTCAACATGGGCCCTTGGGATGCTTAGCCATCATGAGCAGAGAGCAAAATGATAAGGCAGATAAAGACCAGAGCATTACCTAGGCCAGAGCAACCACTGTCCTATTGGCTGGCATTTTTTGTATTTTAATTACCAATCCTGTTAGCATTCTCTCCTGTAGAGTAAACCCAGATACAATGTCTTCCCCAAAATAAATAACACGCCCACACAAAACAGTTCTGTCATGTGGTGTAGCTCCAGGTCTTCCCACATCTCTTGGCAAGACAAAACCTACCTGACTCCTTTTGTAAGGTCTGGACCAACCTTCCTCAACCCTTTTAACATGGAAGTATCCCTAAATTTAATTTCAGGTCTCAGGGAACTCTGCAAACAATTTATATATCTACATCATCATCATCATCATGGTACATTAGTGTGGTGGTCAGTGGGAATAATGTCCCTTACATTGGTGGTAAGTGGGAAGAATGTCCCTTACATTGGAGGTCAGTGATAAGAACTCATCTCACATCGGAGGCCAGTGGGAAGAATGCCCCTTGCATCGATGGCCAGTGGGAAGAATGCTCCTTACATTGGTGACTAGTTGGAAGCATGCCCCCTACATTGGAGGTCAGTGATGAGAATTTATCTCACATTGGTGGTCGGTGGGATAAATGCTCCTTACATTGGTGGTAAGTGGGAGGAATGCCCCCTACATTGGAGGTCAGCGATAAGAATCCATCTCACAATGGGGGTAAATTGGAAGAAGGTCCCTTAAATTTGTGGCTACTAGGAAGAAATGCCCCTTACATTGGTGATCAGTGGGAAGAATGCTCCTTACATTGGTGATCAGTGAGAAGAATGCTCCTTACATTGGGGGTCAGTGGGAAGAATGCTCCTTACATTTGGGGGTCAGTGAGAAGAATGTCCCTTACATTGGTCGTCAGTGGGAAGATTTCCCTAATAGAGATAGGTAAAAATATCATTGATGTCAGTAGTTACATATCATATTGTTCCTTGTTCATTCCTAGCAACCTTTGAAAGCACCCTAGTGTTTCACGGAACCCTGATAGAGAAAGGCTGGTCCAAACAGAAGCTGTGAAGGAAGTTTATACTCAGAGGAGGAATAGAGAATGTGATGCACATAGGTTGCCGAGATCAGGCTAAGCTGACATGAAAGGCAGCTGTAGGTCACTTACTAGGTAGTTGTACATTTTTTGTGTGCTCCCAGAATCACCAATGACTACTTTGAGTGTCTACTTTTGCCCTGGCTTACCAGAATCCACACACTCCATAGTTCCTGGGAATCCTAGGCAAAGGTGTGGCAATAGAACAGTAAATGCTCCACTTACCTTAAAGGTAGGTCTCTGGAGAGTTGGATGGGTTGCTTGATGTACAGCCATTATAGCCAATCATGGAATTTTCAGGGAGATATTAAAAAAGATTGTAGCTTTACTTACTTTCTCAAGGGCGACTGTAGGGTTGAGAGGCTCTCTGAGGTCACACAGCTCTCGCCCTATCAATGGCCTTTAACCCAAGCTGTGTGTGCAATATCAATCAACAGAATGGTTGTTATTTCCTCTGGACTAGCAGGCTCTGATGTTGGATATTATGTACACTCAGGTGTCGGGAGACAGCACAAGGTCAGGCAGTTAGCAATGTAGCAGCTGTCCTACGTCGGAGGACCTCTCAGCCTTAGAGTCGTCCTGAAGTACGGGAAGCTAAAATGGCAAATGATAACCTTCACAATTCTTGATCAGTGACTATTACAATCCTTGCATAGGCTCAGTGGTGACAGGTGCTCTTTAATCAATGCTTCTCTATTTGTAGGCAGAAGATCTGAACATGGACAACGCTAAGCTTCTCCTGCAGATTGACAACGCCAGACTGGCCGCGGATGACTTCAAAGTAAAGTAGGTATTATGTAACCATCAAAAAGTTGCTCCACTCTCCAATTTGAATGTAAATCCTTTTGCTTGCCTTTGACCCCCATTTCACCGTAATAGGGTCTTGTCCCATTTCCTATCGCAGTTCCTGCCTGACAAAAGTATACGGATGTCACCTTGTGGTCAAACATGATATTTACCCCCCCCCCCCCTTCACTCCTCACCCCCTCCTCATCAATAGAGAGGGCACAGTTCTCTATAAGCCTCCCTTGTGTCTCGATATATTAATGGCGTCTGATTGCAGGTTGGAGGCAGAACAAGCCATATGTGATGGGGTCCAAAAGGACACACAAGGCCTCCGCAAGATGATCGATGACACTAATTTCCAACGGATGAAGCTGGAGTCTGAGGTGGAGGCACTGCGAGAGGAGCTGGCCCACCTGACTCGGGATCACAAGGAGGTGAGAAAACAAAAAGTTTTGCAACAATGTATAAATATATATCGTATGCAAACTTTATTTTCCAAATGAAAAAGTAATGCATGACAAAGGATTTCTAGAGAAGTTAACTTAGGTCAGTTTTTTTTTTTGCATGCTAGTATCATATCATATTATATCATATCTGCGGAGGGGGTGTGTACTGCACAGGGTGACACCTACCGCATGGGGTGACACCGGACCCGCTCCACGAAAAGGTAAGTTGTAAAGCAAGCCAACGATCCCCGCAGGATGGATCGGATCTGCAGATTGGGGAGCATAATGGATCGGACTCCAATCCATTATGCTCAATCCACAGATCCGATCCATCCTGCGGGGATTGTCAGCATGCAACCTATACGGGGTGAAACCGGACCCGCTCCACAAAAAGGTAAGTTGTAAAGAAAGATGACGATCCCCACAGGATGGATCCTACCGGGTGCCCCCACAGTAAGCAGCTTGCTATGGGGGCACCCGCTGCTCCTGTGTGTCCATTCACACGGTGTGTCCAATCTTCGACTTTAAAATAATGACCACTTGTGCTCCTCCACCTGCCAGCATTCACGCTCACCTTCGCATAAGTGGTGGTTATTTTAAAGTCGAAGATTGGACACACGGAGCAGCGGGTGCCCCCTTAGCAAGCTGCTTACTGTGGGGGCACCTGGCAGGAGGGAGGGGCCAGGAGCACCAGTGGAGGACCGGAGAAAAGGAGGATGTTGGTGTGGAGTGGTGATTATTTTAAAGCCGAAGGTCACCAGTGGATTTAGTTGAAGATTGAAGACTTTTTCACAATAGACTATTTGGAACAAATATTTTTGCTGTTTGCACATTCGTGGCACTTGTATGATTTTTTATTTGTTATAGGTGAGGAACTCAGCTGGGCCAGTAGCGTCCTAGGCAGGTGGGGGGGGGGGGGGGGGGTGCGCGCTGCATAGGGTGACACCGGACCCGCTCCACGAAAAGGTAAGTTTTAAAGCAAGCCAAGGATGGATTCCGGATCTGCGGATAGGGAGCATAATGGATCAGAGTCTGATCCATTATGCTCAATCCGCAGATCCGATCCATCCTGCGGGGATCGTCGGAGAGGGTGTCACCAAGTGTTATCGCAGCGGTTCACACCAACTCTAGGGACGCCCCTGCAGCCGGGTGTTTTACTATATCCATATAGGCCATTTATTTATGGTTATAGGCATGCACTTTATTACATGTATTTATTGTGACTATTTTATGATTGCCCAGCGGGTTTTCACTAGAGTTTTCTGATCTTTATATATTCGTTCACTACTAAAGCCTGCCATACACAGGTCGAATTCCGAAATAAATTTCTTTCTAAGAAATTTTGTTCGAATTTCGCACCATTACTGGCTCACAGAAATTGACGATTTTCATGTGACCATCGAATTTAATGCCAGCCATACATGGGTCGAAATTCGACCAATTTTTCATCTGAAAATCGGACTGTTAGTGGGGTCAATGGCACCGGCTGCTTTTCCTGGTTTCGGCGATCGGACATGTTGGAAAATTCATGAAAAACAACTGATTTACGACTCAGTGATGGTCAAATCGTACGATCATTTTTCCTAAAAGAATATGCGCATAAGCTGTGACCTGGAAGGAACAGACGTTTTGCCTGTTATATGGGGAGAACTTTATGACTCGGTCGTGGTGAACCGCCGATTTTCTAAATCATTGATGGCACCATTGGATTACTGAGTGAACAACGTTTTTGATTTTTGGACTAAAAATCATTCGGAATTCGACCCGTGTATGGCCTACATAAGTGATCAGGCATGTTGGAAATTTTTTGATTAACTAACCAGTTTTCGAATCAACGATGGGAGAATTGTGCAAGAAATATAAAGCTGTGACCTGGAAAGAAGAGAAAATTCTTGGCCACGAAAATTCTTTTCTGCAGCAACATGAGGACAAATTAAAGGCTTGGTTGGTTGAATTACAAAACGCACAAAATTTCTGATTTTCTAAAGAAAATTCGTTCGGAATTCGACCCGTGTATGGCCTGCATAAGGGGGACGCTCAGCAGGCATTTCCTTTTTTTTTTTTATTTGATATATTTATCAATTGTTTGTTTCATTCGTACTCACTCATCGCTTTATTTATTATTGCACTTGGATTGTATCTATGAAGTGTAGGGAGAAGCGCAGCAACATTTTATATTTATATAAATGGCAAACAATAATATACATATTATCAAATTTTGGGTGAAATAAGCAATGTTTGTGTATGAGGTTCATGTTGACAATCACCGTCTATCGTTTCCATCTATTGCAGGAAGTAGGCGCTCTTCAGGACCTCATCGCCAACAACAATGTGAAGATAGAGGTGGACGCCCCCAAGAAGCCCGACCTGAACGAGAGCATCGCTCACATCCGCAGCCAGTATGAAAAGATGGCCGAGCAGAATCGCTTGGAGGCAGAAAATGCCTACAAAACTAAAGTAAGAACCCTGCTTGTGTCTGTCATCTCCATGTAGCCAATCACAATGGACATTTCAGAAATTAAAAACAACACTTGAACCCATTCTGCATCTTTCTGGCTTCCCACATGGAAGAAAAATATATTTTAAAAATATTCTTCCCAAATATATTGACATATATTTGAAATACTACAATTTTGGCCATATTCTAAAATATATTTCAATAAATATATATACACTGTATGTTCAAATGCATTTGCATTTTTATTATAAAATATATGATTTTTTTTTTTTTAAATACACACACGCACACACATATATTATATATGTGTGTGTGTATTTTTTAAAAGTAAAAATTCATATATTCTGTGATAAAAATGCATTTCAACATACAGTGTGTGTATATATGTATGTGTATATATATATATATATAATATATCATATTGTGGCAGTGCGGTGTCCTGCCACGGTCAAACTCAAGTTGAAAACCCTGGATTCTCAACCAGGCAGGTTGAGGGGCTCCAGAGAGTTAATGTATTGCAGAGGAAAACTGACTTTTCGGTTTCCTCATTTATTCAGTAAGTTTGTTTTGGGATCTGGAGCCTGGAGATTTCGAAGAGATCTGGGAGGGATGAAATCTCCAATCCGGGTTCCGTGTTTTGAGAACCCCCAGCACACTGATTGCACAGGTGTGTGCAGGCCTTTTTATAGAGGACTAACCATAGTTCTGGGCTCCACCCCGGCAAACGGAGGCAGATGGGCTACACCTAGGAGAGGTGGAAGCCAAAAGCAGCAAGGGGCTGCTACAGAATAGCTGTGTGCTAAAGGTTCGCTGGGTGCCAAAAAGAACCTTTTGGGAAGAGTCTGCAGGAGGCAGACTTAAAACTGCTTGCAAGCCAGGAGGCTGAATACTATTAATTTGCTTGATGATGGATACCCCTGCGTGGGAAGAATTCTTGTTTATTTGAACTTTCTTGTAAATAAAAGTGGGCTAAAAAGGCCCTTAAAGAAAGCGAGTAGCTGTGTGCGTTTAAAAGGCTCTACTACCTTGAAGCGAGTTCCCACATATGGTGGAGGACGCGGGCAGAATTGGAGATCTCAGCGATTGAAGTAAGTTCATCAGTTATATGAACGGTTTGGTGCATAAGTCTGCACTATCTGTGTGTGCAGGTGAGGAGAACCTGCTAAAGAAAAGGACTTTGCCTTAAAGAGACAGTGTTCCATGGTGTTGCTGAACTGTGTAACACACTGCTGTGTGCATGACTGCAAAGATGGGGAGGTCAAAGCAGAAAAAGGAGGCAATGTTTGCTGAAATAAGAGAGAGAGCCCTGTGGCTAGGGAGTTATGTACCGCATGACCCAGCCAAGCCGGGAAATTAGATGTGGGTGAGTCTGCTGTGGACTGGTGCAAGCGGCACCTGGCAGCATTGAACCAACCTACAGAGGAAAGCAAGCCAACCTTCAGTGCAAGGAGAGATCTGCAGGATGTCCGTACCTGGGAGAGGGGTGTTGTTGCCCCTGGCAACGCTGCTGCAGTTAAACCAGTAGCTGTTGTGAAAAATGTGAATGTGTCACGGCTTGAGAGTTGGTCCAGCAGAGAGAAGCCGTGGAAGAGCTCATTGACACTGAGCCTCAGAATATTTGGGTGAATCCCACACCTGGTTACGCTCTGGGAGAGCCCCAGGTTATTGTATTGGGTACCTCCAGCCAAGAGGAAGCCTCTTTAAGAAGCACCACCTCTGAGGCATCAGTAAATGAGTGTCTCCATGTCTCCAGGAAGGTCTTATGTGTGGAATCGGGCTGTCTTTTTATAACAGACCTGCTGAAGGAAATGTTAGCCTTCTGGAGTGTACAGCCGGTGTATACCTTGCTGTCTCTTCCATGTTCGGGAGAGCTGGTACAGTGGAGTCCCGCTAATCGGAGCTTGGTATTACGGGCTATACAAAACAAAGATGGTCAATATAGGAATTCTGTGATACCATCCTTGTTGGTGATAGTGAAAATTGTCTTTCAGTGCATTGCTGGGTTGCTTCATAGCAGTAATCTGTATGAGAGGCACACCAGAGTACTGTTGGACAGGACAGAGGTTTGGGCAGAAGTGCCAGAAGACACATGTATATGTGATGTGGTTGGGGTCGTCTACCCAAGTGCAGAATCATGTAAGGATGGTTTGGCATCAGGACAGTTGCTGGCAGAGTCTTTTGTGACAGTGAAGTCGGTGAATAGTGACGTTTCCATGGGAGATGCCTACTTCACTGTGGGTAATTCCTCTCCAGAAACTGCCCTGCCAATTACTAGTGAACTTAGTTCTGACAAGAGTATTTTGGCTAATGATAAAAAGGGAAATGTGTTGATGAATTTGGATTGTCTGATTACTATGTGTGATAACAAAAAGAAGGGTAGACCTGGTGGTCAAGTTGACATGGTAGCTGGTCGTCCTGAAAGAGGTAATGAGTGCTTAACAGACACAAGGGAGGTTAAGAGTCTAGCACTAGGCCCCCTACAGGATCGGGAAGGTAATTTTTTGGGAAAGATTTCCAAAGGTCCAGGAAACTCCCAAGTTTTAAGGATGAAAGGTCTAAGGGAACTGGCCCAAAGCTTAACAAGGGGATGTTAAAACTGTTTGATTCCCAAATAAAAAGAGCCCACCTCTATTACTAAAGGGTTTAAAAAATAACCCCATCAAAATTAAATAAAGCAAAAAGAGATGATCTAGAGGAATTTGAGGGAGCATGTTGTAATGTTACAGGTACCAGGCATTTAAAGCTTAGGAGTCAACCCCAGGTTACAAAGGGTACTGAGATTTGTAAACCCCCTAGTGGTAAAAGGACTAGCATAGTCTTAAGGAAATTAGAAAGGCCGCGCTTTTGGAAGCACACTCGTAAAAAGGCACGGGGATGTCCTAGAGCCCAAGTAAGGGTAGCAAGAGGAGACAAGGGAAGTCACCTCTTGGGGCAGGGAGTAGTGTCTCCCTTTGAAGAAAACAAAGTCAGCCAGGATTGGACCTCTACAGGTGATAGCCCCGCACAGAAGGTCTAAAGCAAGGGTTTTAGGTTTGTGTGTTCCGCCCCCTACGGGGTCCAAAACAAAGGGGGGGGATATGTGGCAGTGCGGTGTCCTGCCACGGTCAAACTCAAGTTGAAAACCCTGGATTCTCAACCAGGCAGGTTGAGGGGCTCCAGAGAGTTAATGTATTGCAGAGGAAACTGACTTTTCGGTTTCCTCATTTATTCAGTAAGTTTGTTTTGGGATCTGGAGCCTGGAGATTTCGAAGAGATCTGGGAGGGATGAAATCTCCAATCCGGGGTCCGTGGTTTGAGAACCCCCAGCACACTGATTGCACAGGTGTGTGCAGGCCTTTTTATAGAGGACTAACCATAGTTCTGGGCTCCACCCCGGCAAACGGAGGCAGGTGGGCTACACCTAGGAGAGGTGGAAGCCAAAAGCAGCAAGGGGCTGCTACAGAATAGCTGTGTGCTAAAGGTTCGCTGGGTGCCAAAAGAACCTTTTGGGAAGAGTCTGCAGGAGGCAGACTTAAAACTGCTTGCAAGCCAGGAGGCTGAATACTATTAATTTGCTTGATGATGGATACCCCTGCGTGGGAAGAATTCTTGTTTATTTGAACTTTCTTGTAAATAAAAGTGGGCTAAAAAGGCCCTTAAAGAAAGCGAGTAGCTGTGTGCGTTTAAAAGGCTCTACCACCTTGAAGCGAGTTCCCACAATATATATATATATATATATATATATATATATATATATATATATATGTATATGTGTGTGTGTATATGTGTATGTGTGTATATATTTCAAAATATATGAGAATTAAAAAAAAAATACGCGCGCACACACACACACACATATATATTCCAAAATATATGAAAAATATTTTTACATTTAAGCTACATTTTTGGAATGCATTTACAACTATATGTAAAAAATATATGTTAACATGAATTTTTTTATGTTAACAAAAATCTGAACAAAAATCTGAAGAATATATTTAAAAAAAATTTTTATAAAAATATTTTTCATATATTTTGTAATATATAAAAAACGCACTTCAACATGCAACATCATTGGGAGGAATAGTGCCCCATCATTGGTGTCAGTGGGAGGAATAGTGCCCCATCATTGGTGTCAGTGGGAGGAATAGTGCCCCATCATTGGTGTCATTGGGAGGAATAGTGCCCCATCATTGGTATTAGTGGGAGGAATAGTGTCCCATCATTGGTGTCAGTGGGAGGAATAGTGTCCCATCATTGGTGTCAGTGGGAGGAATAGTACCCCATCATTGAAATCAGTGGGAGGAATAGTGCCCATCATTGGTGTCAGTGGGAGGATAGTGTCCCATCAGTGCCCCATCATTGAAATCAGTGAGGAATCATTGGTGAGAGGAATAGTGCCCCATCATTGCCCCATCATGAGAGGGTGCCCCATCAGTTGGAGGAATAGTACCCCATCATTGGTATCAGTGGGAGAAATGGTGACCCTTCATTGGTGTCAGTGGGAGAAATAGTGCCCCATCATTGGTATCAGTGGGAGGAATAGTTCCCTATCATTGGTATCAGTGGGAGGAATAGTGCCCCATCATTGGTGTCAGTGGGAGGAACAGTGCCCCATCATTAGTGTCAGTGGGAGGAATAGTGCCCCATCATTGGTATCAGTAGGAGGAATAGTGTCCCATCATTGGTGTCAGTGGGAGGAGTAGTCCCCCATCATTGGTATATGTGGGAGGAATAGTGCCCCATCATTGGTGTCAGTTGGAGGAATAGTGCCCCATCATTGGTGTCAGTTGGAGGAATAGTGCCCCATCATTGGTGTCAGTGGGAGGAATAGTGCCCCATCATTGAAATCAGTGGGAGGAATAGTGCCCCATCATTGGTGTCAGTTGGAGGAATAGTGCCTCATCATTGGTGTCAGTGGGAGGAATAGTGCCTCATCATTGGTATCAGTGGGAGGAATGGTGACCCTTCATTGGTGTCAGTGGGAGGAATAGTGCCACATCATTGGTATCAGTGGGGAGGAATAGTTCCCTATCATTGGTATCAGTGGGAGGAATAGTGCCCCATCATTGGTGTCAGTGGGAGGAACAGTGCCCCATCATTGGTGTCAGTGGGAGGAATAGTGCCCCATCATTGGTGTCAGTGGGAGGAATAATCCCCCATCATTGGTATATGTGGGAGGAATAGTGCCCCATCATTAGTGTCAGTGGGAGGAATAGTCCCCTATCATTGGTGTCATTGGTGTAAGGTTCCGATTATGTGATCACTGATTGGCCAACCAGTGATCACATGAATAGTAGTAAGCAAGATGTGACTTCTGACATCATTGCTTACTACTAGTGAAATCTGTGAATGATCACAGAGGTCACCTGGTACAGGGCTATTCACAACAGCCTTGTACCATGTGACAAGCTGTGACCAATCACAGCTCACACAGTATTTCTCAATGGCTTGCAAAAATGCAGCCAGAGGAAAGGAGAAATGATTGCTCTTACAGCCTTTATGGGTGTAAAAGCAATCATTGTAAAAAAAAAAAAGAAAAATCTTCATCACCCCCCACAAGTAGTACAGTGTCATTATGGTGACACTGTACTGCTAGGGTGATGATATGTTAAAAAAAAAACAAAAAAAAAAACATTTAATAATATAAAAAAATAAAAATAAAAATGTAAAAAAAAAAAGTTGAAAAGTTATAATTTTTAGTTATAAACTAATTTGGGTTATTTTTTTTTTTACTAAAAAGATAACTGAATAGATTTTGGCCAAGATTTATGATTAAATATTATTTATTTGCAAAATTTTATAACAAAAACACTTTTTTTTTTCAAAAATTTTGGACATTTTCATTTATATAGCAAAAAAAAAACAAAAATCCCAGTGTGAATAAATACCACCAAAATAGTTTTATCTGTCTCAAAAAAATGCTAAAAAATTCATATGGGTACAGTGTTGCATGACTGCGCAATTGTCATTCAAAGGGCGACAGCACTGAAAGCTGAAAATTGGCCTGGACAGGAAGGGGGGTGAAAGTGTCCGGACATGAAGTGGTTAAAAATGAATGAAATAGAATTTTTGCTCGGTGGTGCTCAGATGCAGTTTAGTGTAGCGTACCCTCAGTAGTTACACATGGCCAGGGCTTTTGCTCCTGATAGGTTTACTTTGAGAGCAAAAACAGATTTAAAAATACCTAAAACGTGACCTTTCTGTTTCCATCATCCCCCTGCTGCTGCCTTTCATACTATCAGGGGCGGACTGACAACTCATGGGGTCCCCCGGGCAATAGGGGATCATGGGGCGCCTGTGTCCTTGCCCAAACTCAAAAAAGTCTATGAAAAAGGTACCAGGGGCATCTCATGGGGCCCCCTACTGACCCCGGGCCCTCGGGCAGTGCCCGAGTTTCCAAATGGTCAGTCCGCCCCTGCATACTATGACTTGCTACAAAAGTTACAATGTTGAAATTTGTTGATTGGGAAAGAGGAGACTGAGGAAATGCTTCCTCCTGCCTGCAGCAGACTGATGACATCATCCCAGCCTAGGCAAAGTCCCTGGACTGAAGCTCAAGGATGGCTTTTTAATGATAAAAGGTGTACATTTTCAGAAAATTGATACTGTTGCTGTATATTGTGACATGTTAGGAATGTAATTTTTTGGACTCGTAATTACTATAAGGCCGTTTTAACTCCTCCTTTCAGTTTGACGCCTTGTCCCAGGAGGCGAACTCCAACACGAAATCCCTCGAACAGGCCAAGAATGAAGTGGCGGACCTGCGCCGTCAGCTGCAAGCTTTAGAGATGGAACGTCAGACCCTGCAGAAGACGGTTAGAATTGTATTTGTGTTTTCACCCCCTGCAACAAAAATGTCATTTTTGGTCAAATACTCCCTATGAGAAATCATGTCTAAGGGCCGGTCCACACTCCATGCGTTTCAGTCTTCTTTTTTTTCTGCATCCAAAATGCAGAGAAAGTAGGTGATACGGCGATCAATGTCATAGTTCACATCATTGTTTGCAGTTCCAGTGCAGGGGCGGACTGACCATTTTGGGTCTCGAGCAGTGCCCGAGGGCCCGGGGTCAGTTGGGAGCCCCATGAGATGCCCCTGGTACCTTTCATAGGCTTTTTTGGGTGTGGTTTGAGTGTGGACGAGGACACAGGGGCCCCATGATCCCCTATTGCCCGGGGGCCCCATGAGTTGTCAGTCCACCCCTGTTCCAGTGCATTCTGGTTGCAGAAGAAAAAGTAGAACAGGCTGCATTTTTCCTGCACAGAACTGCACTGGAACACAGTAAAATGCACCAAAAATGCACCGGAACACCCATGTCCTTGTTACAATTGAAGAAAATGAGAGGGGGGAAAAAAATGAACTGGAAAGCATCAAAAACCACCGGCGTGTCAAAAACGCGTCAAAAATGCACATGCAGAAACGCATCCGGAACGCATCTGGACTGCAATTCTATGGTGTGAACCGGTCCTAAAGGGATGCAGACCCTGCACATTTCTTCACCAATACCCTGCAGGTTCAGCAGCTAACTGATAATTAATCAGTCACTCCCATACAGATTCACTCTGCACATGGACACAGACAAACAAACATCTACTTCTTCAGAATAACAAAAGGTAGGAATCTGCAACAAAGTGTGTAAAAATCCTTGCAGTGTGCATAGATCACCGGGAGGGGAGGGTTTTTTTTTTCTCAACAAAAGTGGAGTTACTCTTTAAGTTCTAATTCCTACCCTGTCTCTTCTGCTCTTCTTTTTCACTATACCCCACCCCCCCCCCCCCCCCCCCCCCCTCACTTAGTCATCCCTTTTCAAATTTCTACTTCCTCACATCAATGACCCGCCCACTCCCTCTATATTTTATATATTTGGGACAGACCGCCTGGCACCCTGCTTCGGTCAGAGAACTGCTTCCTGGGACACAGGACCGAGGTATTATAGCTGGGCATTGCACCCAAGTACTAGACAACACTAGCTTAGGTGCAAAATGGTACTGTTTAGTGAACAGAAATACAGGTTTTTTTTATACACTTCAGGAATAGGGCAGTCCCCACATGAACAATAAAAATAAATATTACACATTGGGATGAACATCCCACACTGACTGGATAACGAGGATAAGTTGACACAAGACTAATCCCCATCATGTAGGAACCTTCAGGAGGACTAGCCAACAGACAGAAACAATAGGTGACTAAATTAGCTCAATTAACAATGGGACAAAGACACAACAGTAAACGCATTACACATTAATAAACAGATTACAGTAAAAGACTTCAGGATCAGGATGTTTTGAGCTGATTATATTAACATCTTCTTAGGGTCTCTGAGTCTAAGAGGGGGGTTGAAGCAGTCAATGCTGGTTTGGGCACAGAGACCCCAAAAGTTGTATCCTGGTCCTTCTCAGAGTCAATGTGTTTTGGGGAGACATGGACTTAAATACAAAGTAAAATTACAGGCGTACCTCGGTTTACGAATGCCTTGGTTAACCTCCCTGACAGTATTCCCGAGTGTAGCTCGGGGTAAGGTTTCAGCACCAAAAGCGGTAACCCCGAGCTACACTCGGGCTTACCATGTGGCGCTGCTCTGGGATCTGTTCTTCACTTACCTTGTCCTGCGCTCCCGCGATGTCCCTCTTTCAGTGTCCCCTGTAATGTCCTCTGGCGGATGCCGGCATCTGTCATCTGGGTTCCGTCCCCTGTGAGCGTCGGGACGTACGGGGGACGGAACTGGCGAGAAATTTGAAAATGACATAAAGTGACATTCACTAAATACACTAAAATCACATAGTATAACATTCCTGTATCAAACCATTTCACATACATTTTGTCCCGAGTGCTTTGTCCGGCGCTCTGCCTGCATTTTTACTGTTCTTTCTGCCTGGAAACTGAGAAACGTCCATGGCGTCCAAAAAGCGTCCCTTTAGGTCAAAAGCGGTTTTAGACCGGCTAGAGAACAGCGATAGTAAATCAGAACCACTTGCAGAATTGAGTGATAATGATTCGTGGGGGAAATTCCTCATCAGACACTGAAAACGATTCTGCGACTGAGCTCAGCGATGTGCGAACTTGGGCTATATTTCACATTTCAGTGTTTTTGGTTTGATTATATTATTGAATTAAATTATTATTATTATTATATTATTATTTTTATGATTATTTATTAAATTATAATTTATGATTTCGTGTTTTCAAATTTTATCCTCCCCGGGATGTTTACTAGACTCTTGTTCGGGACAGATTTCAGTGAGTTATTCCTAAAAATTACAGCCTACAATAAAAAAACTACATATTTCCATGCAAAAAATGTACCGCTTTGAGCACAGAAATACTGACATAATCAGATCGCTAGGGAGATTAAACATAATTTTCAGTTTACGAATGAAAATCCATTGAAAATAACGCCAGTTTACAAATTTTGTTTCGCAATACGAAGTAAGTTTCCCCAGCATGCATTGTGCCTGGGAGGTTTATAGCGCCAGCTCTATGCCTTTAAAGTTCACTTTATAAAGATTTTTTAACAGATAAGACTTTTGTTTTTACTTTTTTCTGACCTCCGGAACTGATTAATTGGTTTTCAATGCATTTACAAATTTTTTTCGCAATACAAAGCAAGGTTCCCCAGGATGAATTGCGCTCCTGGGAGGTTTATAGCGCCGGCCCCATGCATGCAGGAGTCTGTGAGTAGCACATGGCGTCAAGTGTGGAGGTGTTGTAGTTGTTTTTGCATCGAGTTTTGGACCCAGTCTGGAAATTTTTTATCATGTCCCTGTACAGTATTTATGCCTTTAAAGTGCAAATTTTGAACAGATAAGACTTTATTTTTTACTTTTTTTCTAACCTCCGGAACAAATTAATTGGTTTTCAGTGCATTTACGAATTTGTTTCGCAATACAAAGCAAGTTTCCGCAGGATGAATTGCGCTCCTGGGAGGTTTATAGCGCCGGCCCCGTGCATGCTGGGAGTCTGTGAGTAGCACATGGGGTTGAGTGTGGAGGTGTTGGAACGTTTTTTTGCATCAGGTTTTGGACCCAGTCTGGAAATTTTTTATCATGTCCCTGTACAGTAATTATGCCTTTAAAGTGCACTTTATAAAAAATTTTGAACAGATAAGACTTTTTTTTTTTTTACTTTTTTCTAACCTCTGGAACAAATTAATTGGTTTTCAATGCATTTACGAATTTTTTTCGCAATACGAAGTAAGTTTCCACAGGATGAATTGTGCCTGGGAGTTTTATAGCTCCGGCCCCATGCATGCAGGAGTCTGTGGGTAGCACGTGGCGTTGAGTGTGGAGGTGTTGGAGCGGTTTTTGCTTCGAGTTTTGGAGCCATTCTGGAAATTGTTAATCATGTCCCTGTACAGTATTTATGCCTTTAAAGTGCACTTTATAAAGAGTTTTGAACAGATAAAATCCTTTTTTTTTTTTTCTGACCTCCGGAACGGATTAATTGGTTTTCAATGCATTCCTATGGGAAAACCGCGTTTTGGTTTACAATTTTTTTGCAATACGCAACATATTGGAGAACACATTAAATTCGTAAACCGAGGTACACCTGTACTCCAAAAGGTCCCCCAGGCATACACCTCCTAAAGAATAGAGCCCCCTCAAACGCCAGGGCCCATAGTCATTAGTCAAGAGGCTAGCCTGCAGTTTCCTCCATGGACCCATTTGGGTCCATCACAATATTTATATGCATTTAGTCCAAGCAGTCACCACACGCCTTGCCCTGCCCTTCCTTAGTACATATGTACCCAACAAAGGGAGGGGATGCCTGAAACTGCTGTATTGTACATTCCTGTGTCCTGGATAATACATTGGTACAAAGACTGAGCAAGAGAGGGTGTGCAGTGACTGCCTGGACAATGCAGGTTATGATTTGTGAGAGATTGGAGCTGCTCTGTCTTCTATCCCTTGTGGGTGGTTTAATGACTACACATGTATACCATCCCTTACTGACTAATACACAGGTGAAACTCGAAAAATTAGAATATCGTGCAAAAGTTCATTTATTTCAGTAATGCAACATAAAAGGTGAAACTAATATATGAGATAGACTCATTACATGCAAAGCAAGATAGTTCAAGCTGTGATTTGTCATAATTGTGATGATTATGGCTTACAGCTCATGAAAACCTCAAATCCACAATCTCAGAAAATGAGAATATTCCATGCAATCAATAAAACACGGATTGTACATAGAACAATATGGGACCTCTGAAAAGTAGAAGCATGCATATGTACTCAGTACTTGGTTTGGGCCCCTTTTGCAGCAATTACTGCCTCAATGCGGCGCGGCATGGAAGCTATCAGCCTGTGGCACTGCTGAGGTGTTATGGAAGACCAGGATGCTTCAATAGCGGCATGCAGCTCTTCTGCATTGTTCGGTCTCATGTCTCTCATCTTTCTCTTGGCAATGCCCCATAGATTCTCTATGGGGTTCAGGTCAGGTGAGTTTGCTGGCCAATCAAGCACAGTAATCCCACGGTCATTGAACCAGGTTTTGGTGCTTTTGGCAGTGTGGGCGGTGCCAAGTCCTGCTGGAAAATGAAGTCAGCATTCCCATAAAGCTCGTCTGCGGAAGGAAGTATGAAGTGCTCCAAAATCAAATGGTAGACGACTGCATTGACCCTGGACTTAATGAAGCACAGTGGACCAACACCAGCAGATGACATGGCTCCCCAAATCAACACAGACTGTGGAAACTTCACACTGGACTTCAAGCATCTTGCAGTGTGTGCCTCTCCATTCTTCCTCCATACTCGGGGTCCTTGTGCCTCTCCATTCTTCCTCCATACTCGGGGTCCTTGTGCCTCTCCATTCTTCCTCCATACTCGGGGTCCTTGTGCCTCTCCATTCTTCCTCCATACTCGGTGTCCTTGTGCCTCTCCATTCTTCCTCCATACTCGGGGTCCTTGGGCCTCTCCATTCTTCCTCCATACTCGGGGTCCTTGTGCCTCTCCATTCTTCCTCCATACTCCGGGTCCTTGTGCCTCTCCATTCTTCCTCCATACTCGAGGTCCTTGGGCCTCTCCATTCTTCCTCCATACTTGAGGTCCTTGGGCCTCTCCATTCTTCCTCCATACTCGGGGTCCTTGGTTTCCAAATGACATGCAAAAGTTGCTCTCATCAGAAAAGAGGACTTTGGACCACTGAGCAACAGATCAGGTCTGTTTTTTCTTTAGCCCAGGTAAGACGCTTCTGACGTTTGTTGTTCAGGAGCGTCTTGACAAGAGGAATACGACATTTGAAGCCCATGTCCAGGATCCGTCTGTGTGTGGTGGCTCTTGATGCACTGACTCCAGCCTCAGTCCACTCCTTGTGAAAGTCCCCAACACTTTTGAATGGCCTTTTCCTGACAATCCTCTCCAGGCTGCGGTCATCCCTGCTGCTTGTGCACCTTTTGCTTCCACACTTTTCCCTTCCACATAACTTTCTATTAATGTGCTTTGATACAGCACTTTGGGAACATCCAACTTCTTTTGCAATTACCTTTTGAGGCTTTCCCTCCTTATGGAGGGTGTCAATGATGGTGTCAGGTCAGCAATCTTTCCCATGATTGTGATTCCTACTGAACCAGACTGAGAGACCATTTAAAGGCTCAGGAACCCTTTGCAGGTGTTATGGCTTAATTAGCTGATTAGAGTGGGACACTTTGAGCCGAGAATATTCCACCTTTTCACAATATTCTCATTTTCTGAGATTGTGGATTTGGGGTTTTCATGAGCTGTAAGCCATAATCATCACAATGATGACAAATCACGGCTTGAACTATCTTGCTTTGCATGTAATGAGTCTATCTTATATATTAGTCTCACCTTTTAAGTTGCTGCACTGAAATAAATGAACTTTTGCACAATATTCAAATTTTTTGAGTTTCACCTGTATACTCACCGCCCACTTTATTAGGTCCACTTGTTCAATTGCTTGGTAACACAAATTGCTAATCAGCCAATCACATGGCAGCAACCCAATGCATTTAGGCATCTAGACCTGGTGAAGACGACCTGCTGAACTTCAAACTGAGCACCAGGATGGGGAAGAAAGGGGATTTATGTGACTTTAAATGTGGCATGGTTCTTGGTGCCAGACGGCTGGTCTGAGTATTTAAAAAACTGGCATTTTCACGCACAACCATCTCTAGGGTTTACAGAGAATGGTCCGAAAAAAGAGAAAATATTGTTGCGTGGATGAAAATGCCTTGTTGATGTCAGAGGAGAATGGGCAGACTGGTTGCTGCAACATTCAGATGGTAGGGTCAGAATTTGGTGTAAACAACATGAAAGCATGGATCCATCCCGCCTTGTATCCCCGGTTCAGGCTGATGGTGGTGGTGTCATGGTGTGGGGGAAATTTATTGGCACTAGCAAGGTGGACCTTATAAAGTGGCCGGTGAGTGTATATGTATGAAACATCTGTACTTTACCTTAAAATGTTTTATGAATTTCTAGAAAAGGAGCTTATAGTAGACATTGAAGTGGAATATTCCTTTAATTTATGTTGGATTCCAGGCTTTAAGGGCCACATTCAGAGCAGAAATAATAATAAATTATATATATATATATATATATATATATATATATATATACATATATACACACATACATATTTGTGTTTCACAAAATCCCGGTCTGAAAGTGGCCCTTGGCAGTGGCCCGGCACCCACGGCTGCCTAATTCTCGATGCCATATTTTCAATCACTCTGGTTTCCTCCAGGCGGATTCTCTAGATCACGTCCTGAAAGACACAGAAGATCACTACGCCTCCCAGTTAATGGAACTGAACCGCGTGCTTGCCCGACTCCAAGACGAGCTGGCCGCCTGCCGTTCTGACATAGAGCGCCAAGTTCGAGATTACGATGCCCTGCTGAACTTGAAGTCCAAGCTGGAGAATGAAATTCATGACTACCGAACGTTGCTGGAGGGTGTCACTGACAGGTGAGGCAATGGAGGGTTCCCAGTTTCTGTGGGCACTTTGGGCTGCCATTAACTTTGAAGCCAAAGCAACTTTTTCAAAATTCGTTGCAAACCTAACTCCCTAATCTATGAGTCTCTTGCCATTTACATTATGGCTGCACAATCGGCATGCCTCAGGCACTAGATCTCCCTTCCAGTTCCTGGGGACTGTAGTGGAGGCAACGCAATAAAACGGTGGAGTCCATTTTATGACAGCCTTCCAGTGCTGCCTAGGCTCAGAGTGTGTTAGGGAGTGACACCGTCAAGTGACATCATTGCATCTCATAGCATAGCCCCTAACCTTTGTCCTTTAGATCAGCCTTTCTCAACCAGGGTGCCCAGGCACCCTGGGACGCCTTGAGGTTTCTTCAGGGGCGCCTTGGCAAAATGTGTAAAAATTGCCTAAACTAGTATACAGTACAAGCCAGCAGGTTGAACAAGCCGGCCTTTTAGGTACAAAAAGCCACAGGTTTTCATTGCGCACCATTACAACCTTCTTGCCGTCGGCATCCTGACAACCAATGACATCATCATTCGATAAGGAGGATGTTGATTGCCTGCAGTGAAGTCAGAGCCCCTGATCAGGCCATTTTTTTTCCAGTTCAATGACTCAAAGTATTAATATAAGCGATTCATCGCGACAGCCAAATAATTAGCATTTTCAGCAGTAGGTTATCACATTTCATTCTTGGCGAATTTCCTTCCTTTTCTAGCAATGTTCCATTATGAAATATAGAACTTAACAGATATTTTCTATTGCAGAGATGGACCCCAGACCCCAGGACAAGGGGGTAAGTGACCTTTTGGTAAGCTGGAAAAGAAGGTAGTATTCTAAACATGTAAAGCTGTTTGGATCAGTGGTTCACTGAAATTAAAATTCTGGACTGAAACCGAAACTTCGGTTAAAAAAAAAAAAAAAAAAATACTTTTTTATATATAAAATTGTATTATATTTGGCTTTTTAATTAATATCATGAATTTAAATTTTAATATGAATTTATTTTCAGCACCTTTTCATCCAATAAGTTGCTTTTTTTTTTTAAGCTCTGTATTAAAAAAAAAAAAAAAAATCTCAAGAAAAAATGTATCCCTTTAAATTCAATGTATGTCTTCACACTGGTCTGTTGCGCTTCCCTTCCATGGACATGCACTGGGTCATTGGTATTTATTGATGATGTGACAGAAGCAGCCAGATGAATTCTGTAGTGTTTACAGATATATTGTCAGCCCAGATTCAGCCAAATGCAGCAAAGTTGATTGGATGGCGCTTCACAGTACAGATGGACAATGATCCAAAACACACTGCAAAAGCAACCCAGGAGCTTTTGAAGGAAAAGAAGTGGAATTTTCTGCAATGGCTGAGTCAGTCACCTGATCTCAACCCAATTGAGCATGCATTTCACTCTCTGAAGGCTTGAGGTGATTGTAGCCGTATTAGTGCACTTGCGACAGAAACAATTGAGTACTAACGTGATACTTTTTTTATTTGCACTAACATACAATTTTGAGGACAAGCTTTCGGGGAGTGTCTCCTTCTTCAAGGTCCAAACTGCAACCAAATCAATCCATCAAAAAGCGTCAGACACTCAAAAGGGATCTTCAATATCTCCGGATCATACAGCTGCACCTCTAGTCATGTTGTGTACCTTATCCAGTGCGGAAAATGTAGCAAAGGATCTTATGTTGGCGAAACGGGACAAAAGTTGCAAACAAGGATGAATTTGCACAGACACACCATCAAGGAACATAAAGAAGATGACCTCTGCACACCTGTGGGACACCATTTCACACAACTTGACCACATTATGGAAGACCTCAATATTTTAGTTCTTAAAGAAAATTTCAAATCCATTCTGGAAAGAAAAACTTTTGAACTAAGAATGATAATTCTATTTGACACAAGAGATAACGGCCTTAATTTGGACATGGGATTCCTCACTCATTATCCAACAGTTTTACAACCCCCTCTGTGAGTGTTGTTCTCCCCCCCCCCCAGTCTTTGCTTTTGCTGTGTCTTATCTCTAGTCTAATCCTAGTCTTATAACCATTGCTATGTACATTTGTCTGTGTGTGCTTCTTGCTGGGTTTTTTTTTTTCTTTTTTTTTTTTTCTCTCCCCCTTTCAACGTCTCTTCTAACATTCTGCTAAAACTTTGAGAAGTAGTACTGCCTGGACCTTGAAGAAGGGGACATACCCCAAAAGCTTGTCCTCAAAATTGTATGTTAGTGCAAATAAAAAAAGGATCACGTCAGTACTCAACTGTTAGGCTGGCCATACACTATACAATTTTCTGTCCAATTTCTGCCCAAATTCTTTTAGATTTACCTTCAACTATGTAATACAAGGGCTTGCCTAACTGTATACAATTGAAAGTTTTGTTTAGGTTTGACCTCGTATTATATGTTTTTTGGTAAATCTAAAGCAAAAATCTCAAGAAAATTGTATAATCTATGGCCAACTTTACTCTCTGAAGGCAAAACGAAAGGCAGAAAGACCCACAAAGAACAACTGAAGACAGCTGCAGTTAGAGCCTGGCAAAGCATTAGAAAGGAGGAAACCCAGTCTTTGGTCATGTCCATGGGTTCCAGACTCCAGGCAAAGCATCAGAAAGGAGGAAACCCAGTCTTTGGTCATGTCCATGGGTTCTAGACTTCAGGCAAAGCATCAGAAAGGAGGAAACCCAGTCTTTGGTCATGTCCATGGGTTCCAGACTTCAGGCAAAGCATCAGAAAGGAGGAAACCCAGGCTTTGGTCATGTCCATGGGGTTCCAGACTTCAGGCAAAGCATCAGAAAGGAGGAAACCCAGTCTTTGGTCATGTCCATGGGTTCCAGACTTCAGGCAAAGCATCAGAAAGGAGGAAACCCAGTCTTTGGTCATGTCCATGGGTTCCAGATTTCAGGCAGTCATTGCCAGTAAAGGATTCTCAACAAAATATTACAAATGAACATTTTATTTATGATTATATTCAATTGTCCAATTACACTTGAGACCCTGAAAATGGAGGGACTGTACATATAAATGGTTGCAGTTCCTAAAATTTGTACTTGATATTTATGTTCAACCCCTTGAGTTAAAGCTGAAAGTCTGCACTTTATAACAGTGCAGTTCCATTCAGGCTACATCCGTTCCATTCCAACAGATCTGGACTTTGGCTGTTCCATTAACAAAAAAAAAAAGAAAAAAAAAAGAAAAACCAGACCTGAACTGAAATGAATGTAGGCAGATGTAAACTGATGATCATCCATTTACATCCGCCCACCCATAAACATACATTGTAGGTTTATCTGGATCTGTCTGAAAAACTGACAGAGACGGATCTAGACTGAGCCCAGGTTCACACTGATGTGGTGCGGAGTTCGCAGCGTTTTCTGTGCGAATTCCGCACCGCAACAGAATCGCAACCCGTTCAAGCAAACCACTGCCGGTGTGTATGTTAACAATGCCCCGAAATCGGTCCGCAAAATGCAGTGCGATGTGCAGAATCAGATCACATAGGAGTGAATACCCATTCGATCTGATTCTAGTGTGGACGAAAGGGTCCTGTATCTTTTTGGTGTGGGTGTGGTGTGATTAGAGCCATACAATATGTATGGCTCCAATTGCGCCGCACACAAATCACATGTGATTTGCACAGGAATGCGATGCGGTTCCTATGCGAATCACATGCGATATACCACACCGCACATATGTGAATTCAGGCTGAACGTCCATGTGAAGAGGCCCTTGGATAGACTCTTAATCGTATTTTGATGTGGTGATAGATTACAGCTACTGAAATGGGAATCCTGACAGCTTCTCTCTGTTCTGCCAGCACCGGCGACTGTTCAGAAAGTGAGAACAACCCAGCAAGAGATCATCGATGGGAAAGTTGTGTCCTCATCTTCAAAGGAAGTTGTTAAATAAAACCGTTGTGATGAACGAACGGAACTTCTGTAAATAAAAACTGTGGTGCAATTATTTTTTTTTCTTTTTATTTGGCTTCATGACCTTCTTTGTTAGTTGATTTCTAGCCCACAATAACTCTTGGTTCTTTATTTTGCACAGAGTTGCTACAATACACGAGTAATATTAAAATGTTGTTTATTCAGTTATAAAAAGCCTTTCAGTGCCCCTGTGACATGCTCATAAACAGTACATGTTCTGAACATGTAACAAAACAAGCCCTTATTCACCTCTGTAGCTATAGCCACTGTGAAGGAATTAGTCTTATAAAAAAAAAAAAAAAAAAAACTTACAATGGGAACACCAAAATCACAACTCCTTTCCGCTTTTACTGTGGCAGCAGAAACTTGGCAGCCTGCTTGTCCTCAGTGTGAACAATCAGCAAGTGTTTTAAAATGTCAGAAACAGACCTCAATCTTTAATTAAATTGAATTAATGACTTCATGGGACCTGCATCTACAGAGGCCTGTGAGGGCTTGTTTACCATGTATGAACTTGCCACTCTGATACCATTGCAAAGTCACTGCACCCCAAAATTTTCTTGCATACACAACAGATTCCAGCCTCATGGCTCTTCCTCGTGAGCATTGTATCCTATTAAAGAGCAGTGAGGCTTGTTGCATCTTTCCTGCTTGTAATGACAATAAAGAGATTGGTGATTCAACCAAAAAACGTTTGGATTGTGAAGATTCTTTGGAGAATATGTATGTCCATACTACGGGCACAGGCAGACTCCAGGAGCCATGCACACCATTGCACCGCTTCAGGTGCATGTGCATACCCTATGTCATATCGGCCCATTTAGTTGACTAGGCTGCCATAGAAGAGAAGTTCACCTTTTGAAAAAAAAAAAAAAAAAAAAAAATGCACATTTTTTTGCAGGTTTAAAAAAAAAAAAAAAAAAAAAAAGTGCATTTATTATTTTTGGTTGCAGGAGCCTGTAAAAAATTGCACCATCGATCAGCCGATATCCTGCTGATCTGTCGGTATATCCTGTACGGGCAAGTAGATATACTGACAGGGAGAAACAATGAACTATCAC